CGGGCCCCACCCGGGCCAGACCCACTCCCACCTCTGCCAGATGAGAGAGAGCAAGCAGCTCTGCCCGGCTGCCCTCATCATTCAACAAGCATGCAGGAGAGACAGACGAGGGGATCGTTACCGCATGGCCAGGGATTCGAAGTGCTGGCTGGGGCTGCGGGCCCACCCCAGGGGTTGGTCTGGTTAGCTGAGGCTGACGGGCCCCAGGGCTCAGCTTGCTGGGCAGCAGGGCCTGAGCTGGGGAGGGCATCCATTAAATCCAACAGAGTGGTTTGCTGTGGGTAAGAGCTGGGCTTTTGAGAAAAAGAGGAGACAAGTTTTACTTTGCTACAGTCTAGCCAACATCCACTTGTCAGCCATAAGCACTGCCCATGCTTCTTCCTAGAATAGAGTCCCTCTCGAGGGGTGAGAAGCCTTGGTACTGAGCAGCCCCGTGCCCTGCCCTGCCCATGTCCCTCTGCCCCCAGCATTACCATAGCCACACTGAGCTATTTACTATGTGCGAAATGACCTGCCCACTTTCAAACAGTCCTAGGGCTTTCCTGCATGACCCCAGGCTTCCTCCTCCTTCCGGAACGCACACCACACCGCCTTGCTCCCCAGCTGCCAGGGATACTTTTGGGACTGTGATATAGGTGGCCCCTGGAGCCCCTGGCCCTGTGGCTCGAGGGGCCGAATCCTGACTGGATGATGAGCTTGTCGGGAGCAGAGCCATGTCCTGGTCACCTTGAGGTACGAAGCAGGGAGTCTGGCATAGAAATGATGACAGCAAGGAAGACCAGCACTGTGAGGGCGGGCCCTGTGCCAGGAAATGGTGCCAAAGCACCTGACACTGAGCTTACGTAACCAACAGCCACCATCACTGCACAAGATGGGCTCCACTACCTGCTATTTCACAGGGGGCACCGAGGTACATACAAGTCAGCACAGGGAATGGGAACCTAGGCAGCTAGTCCCCTTGTCCATGCCCATTTCTCCCGGGTGGTCTCAGGAGGCCACCACAGCCTCGGGGCTATGGCCAATTCCGTCCTCACCTGGCTCTTGCTCCTCCCAGGCCTCAGGACTACTTGCAAAATGAAGAGAAGCCGCCCTGGGAGAGCTCCCTGGGCCGCC